GAAAGTAGACTTCGATTCAGTTTAGTCAATAAGCAATTTTCTTAGCCCTTTATCTACCGATAGTACTTATAAGTACCACTCACTTTAAAATTACATAGAATAACCATCTTTACGAATACTCTGACGATACTTATAGCAGGAATACGATAGCACGATACTCCATGATGAGTATTTTAGTGGGGAAGGCGAATAGTTTAATAACATTAATTGCGTTTTCAGCTGACGGCGTTTTCAACGGATTGATAAGATTGTCATTTTTGTTCCGAAAAAAATAGTTAATGTCAAAATATAAGTGTCTTACTTTTTTTTGTATGTTAATATGAAGACCTTAGAAAACGATTTGACTATTTATTTTAAGTGAACAGTGTGTGTATACTTAATTTTACAGTTTGAATATCTTTAATTAATTAATTAGCTCTAACTAATTAAATTTCCCGAAGTTGAGTATTTCTTTTATGTATACCCCTTAATTTTTAATGTAGTGATTCAAAAAAAAAAAAAAAATTACTGCATGAAAAAAACGGCAGTAAATCATAATGCCGTAGATAAAGGGTTAAAACAATCAAATCTCTAGTAATGATAATTTAAAATACCTGTTGATTTTTCGTTAGAGTTATTTTTCAGATTTTTCTCATAATTTCGTACATTTTAATTTTCATCATTCTAAACATGTTAGTTCAATAAGCTCCATTTCAGAATTATCAACTTCCATCCACTCAAAAATTGACAAATTTGTAGAGTGGTGCAGAGAGCCACAGAGAATTGTGCCACTTGCCAAATGTGGCACGCGGGCCAACTATTATAGTTACCCATGCCTGCTCTATATTTAGTAAATGACACTTTAAGGAGATCAGAGTACGATTGACAAAAATGGGCCAAAAAATCAAATTTATTTTTTTTAGCCTAAATTATTTTTAAATATGTTTCTCTATAACTTGACAGAATTTTAGATTTCCAAGTTTAAATAAACACAGAGTTATGATAACTTTTATATGTTCGTTTTAATTCACATCCCAATGGCGAATAGAAACTTTAAATTGGTTTATCTCAGGAAGAAAAAAAATATCACATTTATTTTCATTTAAAATGTGAAGGCCTTTTTTTGTGTTAAATGCTTTGAATGTAATAAATGTTGGTATGCCTTTATGAATCAAAGACACATTTATTTTTTAAAAAATAGCTGAATTTGGAATTTAAACATTTTTTAAAGAATTTTCATTAAGCATTCATAAAAAAAAGTATTTTACGAATATTAATCATGATAGCAGAAAATCCATACCAACTTTTGTTATGTGTAGTTTGATGTACTAGTAAATAAAATTTCATGCGTGTGCGTTGTTTATTGTAGAAAGAGTAGGATTTTAAATTCCTTTCATAAATTTTTAAATTTTTCCTTAGGAAACTAAATTGTTATTTTTTGGGGGATAATTTTAAGCATAAAAACAGTTTTATATAATACATGTACACGGGGAGCAACCAAATCAAATTTGAAAACCATTAAATTAAAGTCTATTGTATAAATCGCGTAGATGTCCCCTTTTGAAGAAAATTCTTATGATGAGAATGCTGAAAAGGAGATTTTTTTTTTGTATGAAAAGTAAATAATTTATTAGGTATATTTTAGTTCCCAGGGTGCAAATACTGAAAAATTACGAATTGTTCTTCCAAGTGCGTTTGACTCTGATTGCACCTCATGGTAATCTTTTAAGTCAACTTTTATTGATATTCATTTCAGTTTAGATAGCATTCTATCGAGCAGGCTATTTTTATTGTGTGTTTAGTGCAAATGGCTGATTTCAGACACACGTGAACCGCGTCACGTGGTACATATATACACGAGTTTAAACAAGGTATTAAAAGATGATGAAATAGGCATATAAAAATGATATCGCGCTTGATAAAATATATGTTTTATTCCAGGTGGGTGCCTTTTTATTTTCATTTGCAGTGAAGAAGAAGGAAGTTTAAATAAAAAGATATAGGTAGACACTGGTAAAAAGGAATTAAACAATAAATTTTTTCTTAAAATGTAGTGCTTTATTCTAAAATTGGGGATAAATTTTTGTAAAGTAAAATCTACAACTCCCCCACGAAAAAATTTTTTTTCCCCCAAAAAAAAAAATGTATTTCAGCAATAAATAAATAAAGTAGAAGGAAGAAATTAAAAAAGTAACTGAAATTTAAATTAAATAAATAAATGTATGGCAAAAAATATATGTGCATCCAGTATACATGTTTTAATGCATACTGATTGTATCTAAAAGTTTAATTAAAAGAGGCTTGATCAAATAATTTATGCAATTTACTGCTAGTTTGTACCAAAGGAATAAACTAACAACTTTTTATGAATTTTCAAAATTTAATTTTGTCTTTTTTTTGACACTTTATATTCAGATATGGCGATTGTAATTATTGATTTTGTTTCAGGGTAAAAAACTTTACCAAGATATATTTAATTAAAAAGCGTCCTCGGAATGCTAAAGCTTTATAAATAAAATCAGCATTTCGTTGTTGTCAAACCAATATCTTCTACGTAGAAAAAATATAACTTTGAGATTTGAGACATTTCTTTTTATTTGACAATATTCTGTTTGATGCATATAACATAATTTTTTAGCGATCATAGCTCATCATCATCATAGCCCTTGATTTTTTTCTATTGGTTATAATCCTATGTATAGTACGTAAAATTTAATTTTTATTTGTTATTAATAATTAATTTTATTAATTAATACTAATTATTTATTCAATAATTAATTTTGTATTGCTTTTGTTCCTGAAAATCAACAAAATCAAAAGAATATGTTGGGCGACGACGTATTGGAGCAGGATACCAAAATGGTGGACTTTCGACCCTGGACCCCCCCTCCCTTTGAAAAATTTTTGTGTGCGCTACTGTTAAGAGTCATATAACTGTCTTTTTACACGAAAATTTGGTTAGTGAGTGAGTGAATATTAACGTCACACTGTTGAGCTACTCGAGGGCTTTTGGCGATAGACTTTGTAATTTTGAATCGTGGTCAAGTGACGAGGACGAAACCTGACCTGGCTCCCCCTTTCCTAATTACCACACCACACTAAAAAAATGGTTAGTAAACTAGTCATAATAGTTAAAGAGTCGAAATCTCCAAATAAAGCACATAACATATATTGGTTTGACAACAACTATTTTTTAAATGATTTTATTTCAAGAACTTATGATTCTGTAGTTTAAAATATCGAGTTATCTAAACATTCCTTGTTTTCAAAATGCATCTAACCATAATTTTTCGTTTCTTAATGAATGAAGTTACGGTGACGTAGTTTGGTGCTCGTATGAGCAAACGTGAATTTCTTTCCTGCATGAAAAAGTTATCATTCACTGGTAGACTGCCGATGAGCGCCGTCACATCTCCGTTTTTGATAAACAAATAAAAACTTGAACATCATTACTGCGTTAATTTTTTTGTAGAGTTTAGTGATTTTTAAGTACCAAGAAAGAAAAAAAAAGGAATCCAATTTCAGATTAGAAAATACTTTATGCGGAATACTACAAACTAGCTGCGCGCCATTTAGAAAAATGTGTTCATTTCTGTTTCAGGTGTTAGGGAAAATGTGAGATAGTCTAAGCGAACTACTTTAAAAGAGAGTTGTACACGTTTATAGCAATTTAAAGGCGAATATTACTTTTTTTATGAATAAATATCGGATATTTGTTGAGTAAATGTTTAGTAACGTCAGATTTTGAAACTGCACAAAGGCTTTTGTGGACGAGCCTTGTGATTTTGAACCACGGTCGAAATGTGACTGGAAGATACCTTAACTGACATCCCATTCTCCAAACTTCAGCCTAAATTTAACGTGAGGACTTTAAGTTTTGATGTATTTAAAGTGCGTCAAGTCGTCTACATGCCTAATCTAGGGGCAGCATGATTCGAATTTACAACAAGACCGAAGTAATTCATGCCATACGTGTTCGTAAACTTGATCACTCTTCTCATGTAATGTCCCAGCGTTGCAAGTGATGAAACTTGATAGATATTTTGAGGGTTTATTTACAAACACACAGGACAGTACATACATATGAAACACTTACACTATTGTTTTAAGTAAAAATCATAAATAGTCCGAGTTATGACACTTGTATAGAAATAAAGCAAATAAATGGGTCGGTGTGGCATCCAAACCAACTGCCTCCGGCAGATGCAAGAACTTTAGCTCAAACCTCGCTTGTAAATCTTACAAATCAAAACTACGCTTGCTGGTGGAGCCAAAATACAATCTCTCTCGTCGAGAGGAAATCGCTCTCTCCAAATCTCCACACTACGCTCAAGGACGGAGCTAAAAAAATCGACTTCTCTCTTCGACAGGTAATCACTGAATCCCAAATTTCCACACTACGCTCACGGACGGAGCACAAAAAAATCGACCTCTCTCGTCGAGAAATAATCCCTGATTGAAGCTGGCGTGGCACTCGCGCAGTGCTTCGGATCAGTCCGCGTTGCCATCTAGAGTTTCAGAACAGGTATAGAGTTCGTTACACCCACAAGAGATGTTCGCTCAACATATTTCGTATGTCATAAATTCTTGATTACCGTAAAATGCGGCGTATAGCGTGCATCCATATTTTCCAGCTGCTTTTTTTAATTTTTACGTCTATAACGTACGTCATATAACGCGTGCACCCCCATTTCTTACGAAGATACCTGAAGTGTACGCATGCACACACAATATTCTTATGTTTTCAAGTAATTTATTCGAGGTATCACCCCAGGATTTATGAAAAAATAGATCATTTATAGAACTGCAATCCTTGTTGTTGTTGACGAGTGTTTTTTATCCTGGGAACATGAAACACAAGTGAAGAACAGTAAGCATACAATACAACACAGAAGAATATAAACATTTATTACAGATGATGATCCCATCATATAACAAGAAGGGGTGCGCTGCTTTCCTTTAGAGACGGAAATCCATTACAGGCGAAAGTCCGACTTCTTTTCCCGAAGAAGATACAGCCATGTCTTACTCGGGATTTGAACCCGAACCCACTCGGTTACAAGCCGAAGGTCATAACCACACCATACTGGCTGGGCGACACTGCAACCCTTTTCACGTTCATAAGGAATGTCATTTCTTTTAAATAAACAGTATTTCGACAGATGTAGAAAAATCTTTTTTTATAAATGTCCAAGTCTTTTTTTTTATTTTTAAAGCTCTCATTTTTATACTCGGCGTATAACACGCACCCCTAAATTTTGATCGTATTTTTTGTGTGTTAAAAGTGAGCGTTATACTCCGGATTTTATGGTAATTAATTTCATCAACCGTAAAAAAAAAATTCAGATTCGAAAAGCAAGTTAATTTTTAAATGGATTAAATGTTAGAATGGATAAAAATTAGCAAATTATATGAAAGTTAAGACTAGATTAATTAAAAAAATATATATATATATAACAGCATTTACAGATCAAAGTATACATACTATTAAAACTAAATATTTATTGGGTTTTCATATGAATAAAAATGCAAATTTATCTTTCAAATTCCTTCTTTAAAAGAATAACCGTAATATTTTTTGACACACACAAATATTCTTGAGGCGAAAAATATACCCATTTATAATGTACCACTTTTCTGCGGAAGACGATGAAGAAAATTTCTCTTCCAGATACAGAACAGTCTTCTGGGTATCGAATAAAATGTATAAGAAGTGTTTTTAGATAAATTCAGAACGAAACTAACATTAAAAATTAGAAAGATACATCTACATCTTTTATTTTTCTTTTCTCGTTTGAATTCAGGGAATTCCGTCTGGATTATAAGAATTTCTGGTTTACTTTATCTCCTCCCCCCTTCCTATTATCTTCCTTTTCTGGTAAACATCTTATCTATTTGACTAGAGAATTAAACGAAATATAAAAGGTAAAAGATACAAAGAATAAAATTTGTAATGAAATTATAATTCTTTGAGGAAATATATAAAGTAATTTTTCTAAACTAAAAATTGTGGATATTTTTATCTTTTTAATATTTATAAGTAAAAATATATCAATTTATTTGTCATGTTGAGTATTAAAATGTTTTTCAGCTTATTTGTCTAGAAAGCATGTTTTTGTGTAAGAATATGTATGTATTTATATTTAAAATATTACTTTTTCACACACACACACACACACACACACACACAATATTATTATCTAGACTCTGAACTGGAATCTTACCAAAATCTCACAATCAGTTTTCTACATCATATAAAGGGATTTAAAAGCTCTCTTACATTTAACCTCATTATATGTTTGGTGTATTTCTTATAACTATAGCACGTTCGAGTCCTGAATCAGGATTTTTTCATGAGTATAGAAATTGGTTCAAATAATGTCGCTGTTGAAATAAAAGACATTGCTAACGACGGTTTTCTGACTTGCTGTTGTTGTTGTTTCTAATGCCACCTGTCTGACGTAGTCAGATCGAGGCCCACGAAATTCATCGTGGCAAGGGGCTAGAAGTACGCCTGTCATTGGCTTGCCTTGAGCACCATACAGGTGACAGTACGAATTTGCTCGGCGAAATTACCCGAACGATAGATGATGACACTATCTATCTCCAACTCTACAATTTAGGCATAGAACTGAAGGGGAGGGAAATATTCGCCCGTCCCATGCACTCGTGATTTAGCCCACAAGACTTTCGGACCCACTGCTTTAAAGAGCACGTACTCCGTGTGTACTCGGAGGGTATTTGGTGGCATCGGGCATCGAACCCAGGTCTTCCGGTCTGGAGTCCGATGCTCTAACCACTAGGCTACCCACGGCCTGTTTTCTGATTTAAAGACAAATACCGAGTGGTGAATGCTTATAAATGTGTATTTAAAGAAACTCGAGAGCTTCGTTATTTTAAACTACGATCAAGTGAAGAGGATGACACCTGAGTTGCCAACTCATTTTTTGACCTCCACACCACGCCAACGTGAAAACTTTGAGCCACAATAGATTTAACGTGAATCAACCCCTCTACACCGTGGACCTTCAGCGGCATCAGAACTCGATCCTGCAACACGAAAAAGCCAGCCACGAATTTGTGACCATGGCCGCTAAGCACAACCGTGGCGATCTAGATCCCGAAAACATCTGAACTGGTATAATTCACTCGTTTAACTTCCACACCTCACCATGGAAGGACATTCAGACTTAGCTGTATTTATCTCGTAGCACGAATACGAATTCTCTATTACGAATTAGTTCTCAATCATATTCAAGTATAAGGGCACCATTTGAGCTGTTACAGCCTTCCAATTTCCACAGTACATTAGAACTTTGAGAAAAGTTCATTTTAAGATGTCAGTGTTCTTTATTCCACACGGCAGGTGAGGTTCTTCGTGTAATTAAAATTCGAAACAGCGACTTGACTTAAACATGGTTGGTCGAAAAGCTCAGGAGTATAATTGGTGGACTACCACGAAAAGGAGTCATTTTTGTAATCAGGTTTGAAAAATAGTTGTAGAATGTCTAATGGATATCTCAGTTCATCTACTACTAAATTGGATATTTTTAAATTTATTGTTCAAATCTTTCTCATTTAAAAAAAAAAAAAAAAAACTACACATTATAATGTCCATTCTAGAGGATCATGAAAGTTTTTGTTGTTACATTTTTTGAAGAGAAAATACCGTAAAATCCGGCGAATAACGCGCACTTTTAACACAAAAAAATAAGTCCAAAATTTACGGGTGCGCGTTATACGCCGGGTATAAAAATGAGTACTTTATAAATAAAAAAGATGAACACAGAAAAAAAAATTAGACTTCTACATATATAAAAATACTGTTTATTTAAAAGAAAAATATGACATTCCAAATGAACTTAAATGTTTGCAATTCTAGAAAAACACTATTTTTCAAAAACTTGAGATAATACCTCGAATAAATGACTTCAAAACACAAAAGCATTGCGCTCGTGTATTTCAGGTTTCTTCATAAGAAAGAGGGTGCGCGTTATACGCCGGATTTTACGTAAATAATAATAAAAAAAAATCGAATGTACGTTAAAACAAGAAATGTATCCCAGGACAGAATACATCATGATAAACATTTTATAATAGTTCTCGAAAGATTTTGTTGCTTTTAGTCAACAACACAGATCTTATATATTCCAACTGCTTACTTTACGAACATTGTTCGTCGAAGCTACACGAGGGCTTAGAGGTCATCGTAATTTTGAACCACGGTTAAATGACGAGACGATCCCTGAACTCTATCCCATTCAGGACCATGATCACATATATGTGATCACGCGCTTCACCCTCCAGGGTCCATAGTATCATAAATGAGAGTGAGTGTTCCCTGCTCTGAAGCCCATGATCATACCGGTGTGATATGAGTTAGGAACGTTTTTATGAATTTTTACAAGCACTAGATGGCGGTTTAAGTCCGTTTTTTTCGAACAATGTTTCTCAAAACTTTGAATTTCAATATGTACTTTCGGTTCCGAGCTTTTTTTAATTAGATACGAGATATTTATGAATGTAAAAAACTGCACATGTTTAGCTCTTTCCCGAGAATCGCGCATTTAAAGGTTCATTATTTTTTATTTATTTTTTTTTTATTGCTAATGGGCTGCCGATTGGAGTTTTTCAATTGCAGACCTAGTACATTCCCCGAAAACTGGTATCTCTTTTTTAGTGCGGTGCCATGGTTCGTTATTTATTGCGCACTGGATTTCTGTTTGTATTTTGAATAATTTGGAAGAAAATATAAAAAAAAAAGTTAATTATAGTTTATTGGGCATCAGACATTCATAATAATAGTTTCAGCATTTATTTTATTTGCGGTTTGTATTTAAAACAGTAATTTTTATACTCAACGACATTTAAAAAGCAGATCTTCTTATGACACAAACGCGATGACTCATTTTTAACGAAAACAGAATCGTTTGTTCTTACGAACTCATTTTTAATTCAGTAAGAACAAACGATTCTTTTTCGTTGCTATCGCAACCAGAGTTAAATAACCATAAGAATAGAAAACATAATATTAAGAAGACTTAAGTAATACAACAATTAATTAAAAAAAAAAACGATATTAGCTGTTATTTAAAAAGATTTTGTGAATCAGTTCAAACCACAACAAGTTTTTGTGAGAGTTAATTTATCGTTTGGGATTTGCCGGATAGCATTTTGTAAGTTTTGCATCTACTTTATTTTAAACATCATGGCGAAAAGAGTACTTTTTTTTTGATTAAAATGAAAACATTTTCTTTAAAATTCGCAGTTGGTTTTTTTTTTCAAATATAGCAAACATTTTTGTACTGTATGCCCAGATATGATCAATGATAGTAAATTGTAAGTTTTAGCGTATTTGATTGCATTTAAAATTTATATGAATTTTTAAAGGAAATTAGGCTTAGCGGGGAAATTCGCCCGGTCCCATGCGTGCGTATCCTCTCCGAACGCACGGGCCTGGGGAAACGCTTCTTTCTCCTTCCGCTGGTCCTGAAGGGGCTATCACTCAACTTTCCAAATTTCCACACCACGCCAATGTGAGGACGTTAATTCTTGATAGATGTAAGGGTGGATATGTCTTTCAATATGGTATTATCTAGGGTTCGAATTCATAGCTATGAATTCTCGGCTACTCTGGCCACGAATATACTACCACAAGACATTTTACTTGTAAATATTATACATTCTCTTTGTTTTAAGTTATGCATGCACCCCGAACAAAATGAGTAAGCGTACCACTGGTCTACTCAGCCAGTACTGGTCGGTTTCCAGTAAACATGTACTCGGTATTACTCAAAACATCCAAAAAAATTCCAAGATATGTTTTTATCTTTGTGTGGATGTTAAAAAAAATACTTTACTACCCAGTTAACAACAACAACGACGATGCGAAAAAAATTCCCTTCACATAATTTATCACTTAACAAAATGAAATATACTATTTGGCAAGTGTGATACGAAGTACCACTATATCAGCCATAAAGAAAACATAATTGAATGAAGCAGGGAATGAAATACACTCTCTTACAATAGCCACCGTAATAAATCGATAAAGGAAATCCACATCTTTTACCTACAACAGCCCTAAAAATGTCCG